CTCCTCCTGTTTGTCCTCGTCCCACACGGGGACACCTTCCTTCTTCCACAACTGTTTAAGATCTTCAACCAGTGGTCTTAGGTACACGTCGATGTCGTTACCAGGTTGCTTGGGGCCTTGAATAATAATCGGCATCATTATGTACTTCCTCTTCATGCATAGCCAGGGGGGAGGTTGTAGATACACATCGTAACAGGACAAGTGCTATGGCCGCTGCTCATCTCTCCAAAAGGATTCATGCCATCCGTACTCAAACCAAACCGTATGTTTCGTGCGTCCTTTCCAAATTCTTTAAATTTTCTGTCGATGTTTCGCCACTGCGAACCATCGGCGGGGTGTCTCAGCATCCCGTCCTGTTGACGCTCTTCAGCGTGCCATCGCAACATTCTAGCATTCCCCTTGTTCCTGAACAAACGCCTTAGCCGTGGTATTATAGGAAAATACCACATCACCTTAGCAGGAATTCTCTTCTTTGTTAGCTGCCCGTCAACTTCTCCTGGATCGTCCCGTCTAATCTTGTATCGTAGTGCTTTGCAAACAGGGCATGCTTCTAGGTTCTCATACTCCTCACCGCGATATAGGATACAATCGTTCGGACATGCGTGAATCTTATGAACTTCCAGTCCTAACGGGCAGACTATCTTCTTAGCCTCGTACGTTGTCTCGGGCAATTTGTTTCCCCCCGGAAGAATGTTCTTGACGAGTTTCAATAAATCGCCAAATGCCTTGTCACTAACCCCATTTTTTGCCTTCCATTGCAACAACTCCAGAGTGGTATCCAACTTTTTGTGCCCCTGCTCGCAACCTGGGTACAACGAAGTTCTGTGGTCCTCCAACATCTTGTCCAATTTATGGGCCTCCTTTTCACTTTCGCAGTCTTCCCTGGCGTCCTGCAACATCTGACCAAGATCATCCGCAACGTCGTTACCATGAGCAGCTATTTCCTTCAAATCCAACATACTGAGCAAAGTCCGGAATATTGTCGTCTTCCACTTCATCTTCTTCCATTTCAACACCTTGCTCTCCGTGGGATGTCCAACAATTATAGCTTGGCATGAACCCCGACTCAAACAAGTGGAAATGAATAGTCCTGGATGCAGAATACTCCTTCTGATTCTTACACTTATTGCATGGACAACAAATAAAACCCCTTTGCCTGTTAGCTTCGGCCACTCTCAAAAAATAGTGCACGCCGTCAATAAACTCTTTGGACCGCCGATCAGCGTACATCCATTGCCGATCCATCTACATGACTCAAAAAAACCGCACACAAATAATTATTCTTACAATAATGACAGTCATACAATAATTATAAGATATCTTTATTCATACAAAAATCATAAAATATTACACCAAATAATTCTTAAAAACTATTTGTAAAGTTTTAAACTAATTTTAATGTGTTTTACTTCTTTTAATTTTTATTTTAGTTTTTTTTCTATTATTTAATATTAACTTTCACTAGAGTTTTCCTTCTCAACTATTTTATAAAACCTTGTTTAGCAAATGAACTAAATTTCTATATATTCTTTCTTCCCCACACACATTTTCTCTCTCATCAACTTACAACTAAATTTTGGAGACAAAAAAAGTGTGCAAAACATAGGTGCAAATGTAGTATGACAAAAAAAAACATTGGAGGATGAAGTTGCAAACCTTTTAGGCACCTCCGATTTGTATGTAATCACCAAAATAAATTCAATAGAAATTTTGGCATGACCTCCCCTCTTTTTTGAAGAAATTTTGAAGCTTGCTCGGGCAGCTGGAGGAGGAAGAAGACATATATATAGGGGTGGGACTTTAGTCCCGGTTGGTAGCACCAACCGGGGCTAAAGATCACCGGGATCATTAGTCCCGGTTGGTATTACCAACCGGGACTAAAGTTAAGATCTTTAGTCTCGGTTGGTAGCACCAACCGGGGCTAAAGATCACCGGGATCTTTAGTCCCGGTTGGTATTACCAACCGGGACACCGGGATCTTTAGTCCCGGTTGGTATTACCAACCGGGACTAAAGTTAAGATCTTTAGTCCCGGTTGGTGCTACCAACCGGGACTAAAGATCCCGGGGGGGCCTGACAGGTCCTGACAGCATTCGAACCGGGACTAAAGATGATCTTTAGTCCCGGTTGGTAACACAAACCGGGACTAAAGATCAAATATGCCCGTTACCTTTTTGAACCGGGACTAAAGATCATCTTTAGCCCCGGTTTTTATTGCATCCGGGACTATTGTGGAAATCGGCCGACCGACGAAAGATGGTTTCTCCACCAGTGAAGTTTTGATACTTATAGGCATTATATCTGGTATCGTAGATATCAGATGTACCGCGATAACATCAGCATGACATGAATCTCAATTTCCCATATTAAAGAAAAGGAAAGATAGTTAAATGGCCGGTCAGGAGGGTGCCTTCTATAACATTTAAGCACCCGTTAATGATCAAGTCATCTATAATATTTGTAACCATGAAGAGCTTTTTTATGACACTACCCTATCACACTCCAAAATTTATCTGTCGTGGTCACGGCCGGGCTTCAAAAATAAGATAAAAAGAAGCAATGATAGAAAAAAATTAGCACAAAAATGTGCAAACTGCTTCAAATCTGTCCTCAGTTTAAATCGTAGAGCTCGAAATTAAACAAAGTAATCAGAATACAGTGACTATAGGACAATTTGTTGGTAGAAGAACAGGAGAAGGATGATCTGTGCTGGATGAGGAGTAGCGGCACGGGGTGTTGCCCATCCGGTATTTTCGCCGTCCCTCAACGTCACCAACGGGGTTTACACTTTGGATTCCGGTGATTTCAGTACCACCAAAATTTAAGAAAGTTAGGGTTTAGGGTGCAAAGAGTAAGGTGTGTTTCGAGTAGGGTGGGTAGGTTATCTATGACCTTTGAAAAAAAATTACATGAGACTTGCAACATTTGTAATCATGAACCAATAGATACGAGCTCTTCTCAAAGCATTTGTAGTTATGAGTATTATAGATACGAGAACATCTCTTATGATTCGTAGGTATAAACCGTGTTGTGAATGTAGTTAATATGGGTTACCCCATAGACTTAGACTTACAAAAAATGCTTTACAACGGACGTTTGATATGGCGCAAAAAAATGGACGTACACCGAGTGGGTCCCACCTAACCACTCTCACACCATTTTCTCTCCATCGGTCAACCTTATCTCTATCTCAACCACTCATTCTTCTCTCTTTCTCTCCCCTCAACACCGTAGTACTGCATCTCGCGACCATGCGAAGAGGGAGGAGGAGTTTAGCGACCACGCCGACGATGGTGGCGCGGCGCGACACGACGGTGGTGGGGTCGCGCATCGCGGCGGCGGTCGCCATCGGCGTCGCGCTCAGTTGTGTGTGAGCCTTCATCTACCCCGACGGGCTCCTCTCCCGCTCCTCCGACACCGCCCTCCATTGGCCTTACTAGGTAAACCGCCTCTGCGCCTATCTCCCCCATCCTCGGCGGCGGTGGGCGCGGTGGCGCTGCAGCAGGAACAGCTGCCGCCGCCGCAGTAGATGGCGGCGCCGCCGGTGATGGAGGTGGACTCACCGACGACCGGAGATGAAGAAGATGAAGGTGTGTTTATTTTGTTGAAGAAGATGGAGACGGGTTTGTTTAGTTGGAGTTTAGGGATGTTACATCCTACTGTTTTAGCTTGTTGCACTCTGTTGCATTAAGGTGTTTCACTTTATTTTGATTTGATGTTGCATTGCAATCTATTGTATATGTTTGTTGCACTCTATTTTATTCGTGTGTTTCATCGGATGTTCAACATGATGTACGATGTGTTTTCTTCGATGTTGCAGAATAGAGTCTTGATGTTGCAAGCAGTGTTTTTTCATTGTTTCATCTGATTGAAACATTTTTTTGCCAAGTGGTGAAACATTTCTCATCGAGTAATGAAACATTTGAAACAGTTTTTAGTGAAACATTATTCAATGAGTGATGAAACATCTGAAATGTTTTTTTTCATGTGGCGAAACACCATCCGATTTTTTGCAAAATATCATACGTTCGATGGGTAGCAATCTCCTGGACTTACTGACACCCCATACCTGTACAATTACCCTTATTAGGAATACCGCATACCCAAATATACGAGTAAAGGTATCTCTAACTAAATACATGATAAGACACCCAAGCAGATAAGGAACAAGTAAGAAACATGTAGCTCGATTAGAAAATAAAATACACATGTTTTTTTTTATCTCTACTATTATCAAAATTGAAGATGTTTCCGTCAGAATTTTGGTATGTTATCCGTGTTTGAATCGGTTTTAATTTTATGTTTTTGTCAAATTCTTTTTGTTTTTCTTACACCAGAATGTCCCTTTTATCTTAGACGCGTGCAAATTAATTGGTCCACGCCTTTTCACGTGCCTCTTGCCGCACGCAGTAATCGTGCCCGTGCCTGAGTCCGTTTCCATACGCGCCATTGCACGTCACTGCGATTGGGCCAGCAACACCCTCGCGCTCGTGATTTTCTGCTTGCCCGATTGGGCCTGCGATGTCCTCGCGTGCGCGATTTGCTCTTGCCGCATGTCCGATTAGAACCATCGCCCTCGCATGCGATTTGAAAATTAAAGATGTTTTTGTCAAACTATGGTACGTCGTTCATATCCGATTCCCGTTACGCGTAACATTCATTGCGAAGTCACGACTAGTGTAAAATACAAAACTGGCTTATCTGATGCCTAGTTGATTGAACATTCGTTTTCTTTCAACAAATAAGCCATTTTTTCTTACTTATCTATCGCCATTGGTTTTTTACTTATTTATTATATTATCACGGAAACAGGGGTCTTGTGAGTCCAACCAATGAGTTGAAGGTTGCAAGCTGACACGTAAAGTTATCCAGGGAAAGAGATTTGTGGTTTGTCTTTTAAGGTTGCCCCTGGTTTTCTTAGAAATCAGAGAAATGCATAGGAAAAACAGATGATCTTAAAAGTTGGTAAAGCATGTGCAAACTTCACTATATAAACTCTTTAATAGAGGGGAAGATGGTTATGAGTCCCCTGTCGAGATAGAGGACAGATATAGAGAGGGTGTGTGAGAGAGAAGGGGAAGCAAAACCTCTGCTCAGGGTGTTGCCTAGACCATGCTGAAAATATGTCGGGTTCTGTGCATCTTGCTTCCCCTGCAATAAATAAATACGACCGTCCCTCCCTAGATTTTGTTCCACCCCGTCTCAAGATTCCTGCAGGAACCATAGAAGAATCAGTAATAGGGGGAGGGACTATCGATCATGTGACGAACAAGAAAGGCATCTCTCTTCCTGATCTCAAATCTTAATTGTTGTTGTCTTCTTCTCTCTCTAAATAAATCATCGTACATATTATTTGTGTGTGTTGCAGATGTTGAGAGACAAACTACAAAACCAATTGGTGTTATGGCTCCGCAGGATACATGGTGTAGGATGGATCCCAAATCCCTTCAACAGAGCGAAGTCGATGGGCACGAAGGGTGCAGCCAAAATATGTTGGGTTATCTGCATCTTGCTTCCCCTGCAATAAATAAATACGACAGTCGCTCCCTAGATTTTGTTCCACCCCATCTCAAGATTCCTGCAGGACCCATAGAAGAATCAGTAAGAGGGAGAGGGACTATCGATCATGTGACGAACAAGAAAGGCATCTCTCTTCCTGATCTCAAATCTTAATTGTTGTTGTCTTCTCTCTCTAAATAAATTATCGTACATATTATTTGTGTGTGTTGCAGATGTGGAGAGACAAACTACAAAACCAATTGGTGTTATGGCTCCGCAGGATACATGGTGTAGGGTGGATCCCAAATCCCTTCAACAGAGCGAAGTCGATGGGCACGAAGGGCGCAGCCCTAAAGACTCAATATACACCAACTGCACTATCCCCCATCGATACTCCCTACCTTCGAAGGATGATAAAGATCAATGTGAATATCCATGGACCAAATCCTCCAATCAATATCCCCGAACTTCAAGGTACTATCATGGATACTACCCGCCTTCAAGTTATAATGAAGGAGGTTTCACACCTTCGATATATATTGAAAGAGGCCCCTCACCTTGGAGACATCATAAAGGAGATTCCTCATCTTCAAGGTATGATGGAGAAGGTTCCTCACCTCCAAGTCACTATGAAGATAGCTACCGGCCTTCTAATGTGTCATGGAATCGAGTGTTCTCCGCCTTATGGAGATGGTAAATAGCACAAAGATATTAGAGCACTGATGTACCACTCAAAAGCCATCAATTTTTAGAGGAGTCTATGAAAGAATCTCCATGTCGATAGTCTCCACCTTTAAGTAACAATAAAGATTACTAGTGCACGGAGACACGGAGCAAAGCAGTCTATGCCACGGTTGGGTGCAAATTAGTTGCATGATAATAAAACGAGATTATATCATTATACTACCACTTTACATTCATTGCAAACTACTCTTCCTATTTTTTTTCACACATGATACTGTTAACTTTTAAAAATTCATTGGATGATTAATTCATCTTATTATTTAAAAAGTTACGTAATTATCATCTATTTTGTGGTGATTTACTTAATCAACAAATATAATTTAAGCATGACTTACATTTCTTATATTTGTATAATGCTTTTAAATAAAATGAACGTCCAAAAATTAACGATGTTAAACGTCGTTTACATCTACTTATGATATCTCATGTATCAATATCACATAAATAAGGACTCTTTGAGGACTCACTACTAAAAAAACGATTTTTCATCGCATCACCCTATAAGGCTGTACGCGAAAACCGCCAGCAAAAATGTAACGAGGGATGGGGGGCTACGAACTGCCAGCGAAAACCGATTTTCGCTGGCGGGCACGCTAAGAGGTCTACCATAATAAAAAACTATTTTTCGCTGGCGGTAGGTAAAGAGGACCACTAAAATAAATTTTGAGGCGAATAAAATCCACCGCGCACCCCAACCGCCACCAAACACTGCTATGTTTCGGTCTCTCTCCACCTCTCTCCCTTCTCCCTCGGTTTCTCCGCCTCTCTTCCTTCTCCCTCGTGTCTCTCCTTCTCCCTCCCTTCTCTGGCCTCCCTTTTCCACCGCTGCCGGCTGCCGTTGCCACCCCACCGCTGCCGGCTACCATCTCCTCCACCGCTGCCTAGTACCGCCGCTGCATCGGCCAATGGGGAGGGCCTCAGGAGCGAATCTGGCGCCATCGAGCCTCGGGAGGGTGGATCTGCCGCCGCCATGCCTTGGGAGTGGCGCAGGGAAGAGGGCAGCGGTGGTGGCTGCTCTCGACATCAGTGACGCGGGGAAGGGGGCGGCGGGGAGTGGATCCGGCGCCTCCTCCTCCCTCCCCACCAGCGGCGGTGGCGAAGAGGATGGATGGCAGTTGTGAGGCGGCTTGCGCAGGAGGTGGCTGTGCTTAGGAGGGCAGGGGTGCTCAGGAGAGGTGGATCCAGCACCAGTGGTGCTCAAGTCCGACGACGATGACCCTGAGTCCACAGCGACCACGACGATAACCTCGAGTGCAACGACGCTGGCGGCAGGTTTGCTTGGGCCAACGTCGGCCGGCGGATATCTGCGATGATGATGTGTTGTTAATCTGTTCAGCTACTATTAATGTGTTGATATTTGTTATGCTCTGTATTTGGATTGATACTTGAATGATGTTCATGTCTATTTTCAAATTTTTTTTGGCAACTTCCTGGATAAGGTGGAAGAAAGGGATTTTGGGGATTTTTATCTCCTGGAAAATCATTTTCGTTGGCGGTTGGCATAATCTTGCCGCCTGCAGAAGTCTATTTTCGCTGGAAGTCCACTTAACCTTATCGCCAACGAAAATATATTTTCTCTAGAGGATGTCTTAGCGCAATTTTCTCTGGCGGCCAACTACCCGTCAACACAAACGCGTTATTTTCACTAGTTTTTTTTCGCTGGCGGCCAACTACCCGTCAACACAAACGCATTATTTTCACTAGCTTTTGTTCGCTAGCAGTACAGCTGGCCGCCAGCATAATGCTATTTTGGCTGCCAGCAAAAAAAAAAAAACTGTTTTTTCAGTAGTACTGAAACTTTCAGCAAATCTTTATTTTACTTAAAACAAAAAATATGTGAATCAAAGTACTTCTACGTGGGGTTTTATTAGCCCGATCGATACTTTTGATTTGCCCATGTGCAACGCAAGATAACTCGTTTTGCTTGAATTGAATTGAAAGTTGAAACATCTGTACAACTAGATTGGATGGGCTTCTCTAATATCTATTCCATCTTAGGAGTCATTTAATATCTATGACTACTATAGAAACACAAAAAAAAAAAATAACACTATAGGTGTCGGAACAACTAAAACCAGCACCTATAGGCATTTTCCCATCCCTATGGGATATAAAAATATAGAACCGGCACCTTTCAGGATCTATAGGTGCTGGTTCTTATATAAAAAGGCAAAAGACACCAATAGTATAAATGTCAATTTTCTTGAAAGAACCAATACCTATAATATATTGTAGGTATCGGTTAATTAAAAAGAACACATATAAATATATGTGCCAGAATTTGAAAACCGACACCAAAAAACCGAGTCAAGCCGATCAACCGACATGCCCATATATCCACTTGCATCCTTATCCTATTATCTCTACCCACGCCTCTCTCTCGCTCTCGCTCTCCCTACCCTCTCTCTCACTCTCACTCTCCCCCACCCCCTTCCCCTCTTGCCTCCCTCGTCGACGACATACCCACCAGTCCACCACAATGATGATGGGTGGATTTGGCGGTCACCTCCCCCTCTCCCTTCGCTCCCAAGCTTCCCCCGTGGAGGATCTACCGTCGCTAGCGGTTTCCACGAGCGGATCCGGCGGCGGCGCTTGCAGTGGATGGATTCGGTGGTACCCCTCTCCCTCCGCCCCCAAGCTTCTCCCGCAGCAGATCCAGCTTCAGCAACTTCCTGTGGCAGATTTGCATCGGCGGTGGTAACGGCGACTCCTGTGGTAACCGCGGGAGGATCCGGCAGTCCTGTACCCCCTCCTCCTCAACCCCCCCCCTCCGTCCCAAGATTCTCCTGTGGCGGATCGAGCAGCGGCGCGTCGATGGCTCCTGGATCTGGCGGAGGGGCGGTGACTTCGTCTTTTCTTTTAGATGATGATGTTGTTGTTGTGACGATGAGTATGATCTAGAGTTCACTGTGGATTGATTTGGGGGCGAAGCGGGATGGATGCGCTCAGTGCATCGGCTCGATTTGAGGCCCCCCCGCCCCCCGCCCCGCCTGACCTTAAAGGTGCAAGTTTAGGAGACTCAAAGGTGCCTAAATAAAAGCCCGTCACCAATGAATATCAGCTGTGGCGGGTATTAAAGTTATCTTAATCGGGTCTTAAGTTGGCGCCCATCGCAGATGATAGTCATCAGTGATGGGCTTCTGTTCGGGCCGGATTGAGATATTGAAGGCTATCTCAATCGGGCCTAAATTAGGGCCGTCACATATAGGTGTCATCTGTGACGGGCTCTAGTTTTATGCACATCTAACATGTTTGTGCGTCCATATCTCAATCGGTCTCTTTTTATGCCCGTTTGAGATGTATTCATTGTGACGGCCCGCAAAATTCAGTTATGTTATAGACCATTTGAGATGAGAGGATATGTACTAATGTTGGTTTCTGGTGATAGTACCATTCCCAATTTATTTTTTAATAGGTTATTCCATTCTACGATAAACTTTTAGCGTTCTTTCTGAAAGTGCGTAGCGCAAATTCAAGAACGAATGAAACTATGCACTAGCTTGGACAGTATATACGTGCGGTACAAACGTCTAGCTATATCTATGTACACTATCCGAAAACTAGAATACGTTAGTATTGGTTAGATTTCGAATAGTTCAATGGTCCTGACCTCCTGTTCTCGTTGTCTAATCAGATCAGGTTGTCATTCTATTCAGATTAAACAAGTATTAAAAAACTATAGAGGCTAGTGTTATGTACGCATTTTTCAAGGGGTTGTACTACTTTCAATGAACTCTGTCTTACAAAGTGGCCCGATAACACATAGAGAATCAAACGTGAAATAAACATCGTAGGTGATCTAAACACAATAATAATAATAATACCAAGGCGTGATACTTGTGAACAAGGTTTAGCCAAAGCCTACATCCTCGAGACATTGATTACAGGCGCTCCTCTCCAATCCAATATATTACAATTATCTAAAAAAATCCAATATATTACAACATGTCAAAGTTATAACGACTCCCAATCAGATGCTGTCGGCAGGCGTTACCTCTCGCTATATATGCTTAGTCACTATTGCGGTTACAACATATCTGTATATCTACTTAAGAAAGATTGTAGGATAGAGTACAACTCTTTACTCTATTCCTATGCCTTGTATAACTTTAACTGATTTTATACACATTCAATATAAACTAACACTCTGGCCCCTGGTTTTGTTAGAATCAGGTTCGGCTTTTGTTAAGTACCGAGTGGAAACAATGGATCTTTCATGAAAAGAATATGGGGCAATTGTGCTTTTGACCCTGTTTTAAAATCTAACTACCGATTTGACTCTGTTTTACGAAATTTGCTTATTTGATCATTTTTTCAAAAACGAAAGTTAGGTATGACCCTACTATGTGAAAGCAGTATAACGGTGTTAACTTATAGCAAAATGCCATTTATACCCTTTATGAAGAACAGAGAGGTACAGATATACAGTGGAACCAAATTCGTACAGGTTTATGGAAAAAAAATTCAGAGAACTTTCCAATAGAACAAGAATCAGAACTCAACCTCTCTTTCTTCTGCCTTGGTGGGCGGCGCTACAAGCAAGAAAATACTGCTATGTTCAACTAGAAAAATCTCAGAACATAAACTAAATCCTAAATCCATTTGAACTGCTCTCTTCGCCAAAAATTCTGAACAGGACAGATATGGATTGGAGAAAATTTCTGAATCTGGCGGACACTTGCGACACCACTAAACTGGCCGATTGAGGAGTGGGACTGCCTCCTGCGACGTGAGCCGCACCACGACGACGATACTAAAATAGCATTTTCGCCGACGTTGGGTATTTATTTTCACAAGCGGATATGACCCTTAGAGCCAAATAGCTGCCTACAAAAATACAAATCGGGGTGAAGTTCGCTGCGGACCACTTAAGCAGCGCATTTTCGCAGGCGGACCACACAAGGTACGCCTGCGAAAATTACCGTGCTATATATATGTGGCACATGGGCTGATATTTTTTCTAGAGCAATTCTACAGTCCTTGAGAAGGTACCATGAGATACCAAAAAATTTAGTGTAAAATTTGGTACCTAGATACCAAGAGGTACCAAATTTACAATAAAAAAAAGGTATCTCATGGTACCTCCTCAAGGACCGTAAAATTGCTCTTTTTTCTAAGTGTCTTTTCCTCTCCCTTCACCTCTCCTCTCCCCTCACTCTCCTCTCCTCTCCCCTCCCCTCCCCTTCACCTCCCCGCCGACGGTGAAGCGTGGCCGGCGGCGGGTGCGGCGGGGCTGACGGCGGCGGGGCACGGCGGGGCGGCCGGCGGCTGCTCCCCTCCCTCCCTCCCCTCCAGATCTGGCCGGAGGGGGGAGGGGGGAGGCCGGCGGCCGGCTGTGAAGGGCGGACGACGGCTGGGCGTGGCCGGCGGCGGTTCCCCTCCCTCCCTCCCCTCAAGATCTGGCCGGAGGGGGGGGAGGCCGGCGGCGGCTCCCCTCCCCCTCCCTCCCCTCCAAATCTGGCTGGAGGAGGGAGGGGGGAGGCCGGAGGGGGCGGCGGTGGCGGCGACAACGGCGTGGTGTGGCGCGGCGGCTCCCCTCCCCCCTCCTTCCCAGATCTGGCTGGAGGAGGGAGGAGGGAGGCCAGCGGGGGCAGCAGCGCGATGACGGTGCGGGGCTGCGGCGCGACAACGGCGGCGGCGGCGTGGACGGCGACGACGACGGCGAGGCGCGTGGTAGCGGCAGCGAGGCGTCCGTGATTTTTTTTTTCGTTCAACGGATTTTCGCAGGCGGGCAGTTGCCCCGACTACGAAAACAATTGATTTTCGCAGTCGTTGCACTGCAGGCATTCCTCCCCTCCACCTGGAAAAATCACTTTTGGCCGCCTGCGAAAATACTTTTTCTAGTGCGTGGGGCTAGCGCCAAAGCTGGAGCAGCCATTCGAGAAGTCTCACGAACCTCCACGTGCATCCGCGCCGACCGTCCGGCGCAGGTCCGTGCGCGGCGCGGCGACCAACCCACGGGCCATGCGCGCAACCCTCCACACGCCGCCGCTCCATTGCCGCGCTGCAGCTGCCTCCGCGCTGACCGCCACGAGCCCCCGCCCCAGCCTCTGTCCGGTGCAGGTCCTTGCACGGCGGCGCGACCCAGCAACGGGCCTCGCGCACGGACCCTCTGTCTCCATGCGCTGTCGCTTCTTGTCCGCAAGCCCCCACATCAACCTCCGTCCGCCGTAGGTCCATGCGTGGTGGCGCGACCCTCCGCGCCGGCCTCGACGATGTATCAGCCGCACCGCCAAGATGAGATGGGTCAGGCCTCGTTTTGCAAGATAATTGTGCACTGAGCGTATTTTGGTCATTTTGAACCAGATAAAATAAAATCCCAATGGTGTAGTTAAAATAGGGTCAGACGGCAACTTCGATTTTAAAATGCTGGGTCAAATAAATAAAATTAAAAAGTAAGATCAAATTGATAGGTAGCATTTAAACAGGGTCATACGAGCAATTGTTCCAAAGAATATATATATATATATATATATATATATATATATATATATATATATATATATATATATATATATATATACACACACACACATACTACTATGAAACAGTGGACCTTGGGGTTGGAAGCTTTGTATCAAAATTGCACCACATATACCGTTCTAAGAACTGAGAGAGAGAGATGGGGAGTGGACTTTCTATGAAGAACGAGAGCGAAAGATTATACGAGGGCGAGATGGTTAGGGAGGTTCCTGTCCAAAGATCCCTGGACCTGGAACATGCTGTCCTTGCTTCGCCGGCGATGGCTAGGGGAGATCGTCCTATTCTAGATTTCGTCCCTCCCCGTCTCGACGGTCCTGCGTTGTGCTCCGAGATACCGCCCATTTCTGCACATCCGTTTCCTCGTCCTTCCACAAGTGCTGAAGGGAGCGGTAGCATCAACCTTCTCCCAAAGAACCTACTGAAGCAAGGCATGCATGCATCCCCTCTCCCCCATGATTTTTTTCTTCTTATCTCCTCCGATCCTCTCTCTCTCTAAACATATCTTCTGTGCATCTTGCAGATGTTGGGGTAGAAGTTTCCAAGGCAACAAACCACTGTTCTGGCCCCGCGCAATCAATATCCCCAGCAATAATAGACAGACGAAGTCGCGCCGCGTTCAAGTTGTAACTCTCCTACAATCAACTCTCCGATCAGCACCATAACTGGTGAACTCGGGCTAAGGTCTCGGAGCCCTTCTAGCGGTTAAACCGAGCGGCTAAAATGGCCGTATGTAATGTAGCAGGCCTATGTTGGCCATGTCTTGTTTAGTTGTATGCCATTACAACGATAGCCTCACCCGACTCCTGCCCTGGTAATTTTTCCCTCCTTTTTATTTGTCTTTCTTTGAGGTCCTTGAGGACCTTAATTATACAGTTTCTTTACTTCTACATAATACATGCTTGGCTGGCCTTCTTAATTTATTCGTGTTCATGAATACCGTGATGCGTCTTGTTGCTAGCGAAGCCCTGCTTGGTTGTGATCAGCAATCATACATAATATATGTACTCCATCCGTAAAAAAAAAAAAAAAAAACTCAACCTAATAGGAAATAAAAAGGTTTAGATTTCATAAAGAAATAAAATTTATAAAGAATAAAAAAACCGAAATTAAAAGTTAAGAAATATAGGAAGAGAATCTAAAGTAGATATAGAAGTACAATTTAAAAATAGCTTAAATTCAAAACTAAAATAATTAATAGTTATCACGTATATATAATACAATATGAATATCACGCATTGGTTAATTTAGTAAAGTTAGTCCATAATTTAAAATTATGTTACCATTTTAATATATTTTGATAATAAAATATGAAAATGTATATGCTATATATTATATGAGAATAAATATAACGATGTTAGTCTCAGTAACCCGACTAGATCTCCACGCTAGCTAGTTATACTAGGTATAGCAAGCTAATATGACCATTTGCATGTCTATGTAACTCTGAAGCGCAAGAGGTCTAACTGGATGTATATTGATGTATAGAGATCATCCCGGCCGGTTTAGCGTATATTAACGGTGTTGCATGTTTTATAACAACCACCGAGTAGCACAAATCCAGGAATAACCGAGACTTCATATGTTTTCCATGCATTAACTGCAAAAAATCAGAAATAGTTCCGGGAGTAAAAATGGTACACGGTCATTTGATTATGGAAAAGGCTATAAAGGAGAACAGAGCATGGAGAGAACAGGAAATTCACCAAAAAAAATGACCGTACCATTTGTTTTCACCTTGAAGCTGGTGACCATACCATTGATGATGACATAGACAACGATAGCCACTTTGTCCACTATAATTAACGTGGTTTTTTCCTGGAGAAGTTACATCCTCACTGAGAGGTTTGTTTACTTCATTCTGAAATCGTTCAAAATTCTTCCATTCCACTGGAGGCCGCAATTTCCCATCAAGAATGATGTTGCTGGATGGTGACCCTAGTGCATTGAAATACTTGCGTGACACTCACCAAGCAATCAATCATCGATAAACTAATTATTTGCATCGATTGGTAAAAGGCAATTTTCTTCTTGTCATGTTGGAGTTTTTATTACTAACAACTAGGAAGATAGCCCGCGCATTCGCGCGGGCATGCGCATTAGTTTGTTCCGAAAATAGTTCTAAAAAATAAAAAATTAAAGTAATGTATTTTCTACTGGTAATTCAGTATTTATTATATCTCTTTTTCATGAGGAAATCTCGACAAACTTTCATTGGTAATAAATATATTTTTTTTACCATTCTGCTAGCCCTCTCTTTAATTCCTTCATATATATGCAATTTGTTATGCATGTGAATCCATAAAGATAGAAAAATTCTTTTAAAAAATATTTATTGTATTTTGAATTTAGTGATTGAGTGATTCTTAATTCGACTTTGTATTCAAATCAAATTACTTTATTCTAAATTGTCTTTTTAGGGATTTTAAATTGTACTTAATCTCGTATCGTGTTGTATTTGATCTCTTCTTTTAATACTTATTTTATTATTCCAAATTTTATATATTTATAACTTATACTTTTATATACTTTTATAGGGACTCTTGATATTTTATATTCTACATGGAATCTTGTTATATTTTTTTATAGTTTTAGTGTTTTTTTAATTTTTGTTTGTGTATTTTAATCAAATTGCTTGTTTTATATTTTTGTTCTGAATTTAATTATAAACTCCTTGTGGTGATCCGCATGTCACCATCAGCCTCACGGATCATTGTTGACCTCCTCATCAGTGAGCCTCTCTTGATACATTGGACATGACGTGGCGGGGCTCGGTGGCAAAGATGAAGCTGTTTTCTAGTCCTTGTCGAAGACATGGAACGTCTCCCTTTGCCCCCCTCCTCTTAGTCCTTGCCCTTCATCTAATCATTTAGTGCGCTACTAGGTCCAGGAACTTGTAGAAGTCGATGATGCCACCGCTGTCAGTGTCCATCTCGCTAATAATGTCTTGTAGCTCCGCCTTCATCGGGTTCAGGCCCAGAGTTTGCATTCTGGTTCCAAGCTTCTTGGTGGTGATTGAACTTGGACTTTAGACCCACACATTTGAATTCATTCATCGTTTTCGAAGTGCTATTTTGCTCAAATATTTGTAGTCAGAATAGCAGCATGGATCTTGAATTTAGCTATTATCTAACTTCTATATAACTTCTATTATCTAACTTCTATATAGTAAATATGGGCAATATGGATCTTGAATTTAATTATAAATAACACAAAAAGTCAAATAAACTAAGAAATACATGTAACTTGAGAGTTATGATCATTTAGCTATTATTATTTTTCTATATATTATGTGTTAGGTAGAAAATAGGAAAAGTTATCTTAAAAATAGGATATGAGAATTGGATCCCATAGATGAGTAGGACGGTGGAGGTACGTACGAACATGCATGCTCACATACGGTAGGGATGGAGGTGGGGGTACCGGATTTATTTTTGTGAGATGTAGCAGTTATAATTATTGGATCTACCTATTTAAAGGAAATCAATGGTTTGATTTTTTTTATCATAATTTCTAGGAACTTTTAATTTATTTAAGCACTACATGGCGTCTTATGAGTGTTTGTAGAAAACCATGTGACAGTTTAAGAGGATTTGTAGGGAGTTTAATGAATTTTTAGTATATAATAGATAGTTAATATAGCATTTTTGGTTCTTTATGTACTGAACTGCTCGCTAGAAAATATGGATAAGAAAGTGAGCAGGAGAGATAATAGGAGATCATTTACGATGGCATGATGTATGTTACTTTTTGTAATATTTTATTACTATTTAGTTTGCGATAAAGGGGTTTATGTCAAATGATATGTTTCTTATATATGTACATGCCAAATTATGGTAAACATAGTTCAAATTAAATCAAATATATTATAAGATATTCTAATTATTTAGTTGTTGTGTTTTTTATATATATAATTTTGCTACCATAAATGGAAGGAAGAAGAGAGGGGTGGGGAGACATACGAACTTTGGATGTACGTACATGTTAGGAGATGAGGGACCTAGGGAGAGGTGTGGACGTACGCGACATTTGTTTTTTACATATATAGTTCTAATGGTGTGTAAAGAGAAAATCAATGGTACGATGTTTTCTTTTTTTTCCTTGGAATTTCTTAGATTTCTCTAATTTATCAGAGCACCACGTGGCGGTCAGGAGCGTTTGTAGGAGCCACATGGTGGCTTAAGAGTGTTTCTAAGAAGTTTAATGGACTTACTCGTACGATGTCTATTTGTAGGGATTTTTTTCATAAATATAGAAAAAGAAGAAAGAAACAAAGAGAAAAAAAAAGAAGGGAAGATAGGGAGCGTACAATACGCATCCTGCACGGAGGTAGGGATGGCAGGAGTTTTTTTTTCTTTAAAGATAATCTAACGATCTAAAATAATGGGCCCAACTACTATTTAAGTGAAAATCGATGGTCAGATTTTTCTATTTTATTAGAATGCCACGTGGCGACTTGGGATAATCATATATCACCATATTATTAGACTGCGCGGGCAAGAATGTTAAAAGAAGTCATATATCACCATATTCGCTATAAAGACCATAGATTACTTTAATTATAATCATAAAAGTAATATGTATACCGTCAAATAGACAAATGATATTCAAACAAAAATTACTTTATCCCGGTTATACATTTACTTATCTATCACCACTACATATTACCGTTGTCTTAGGTATGTGCTCTTTTAATAGATGGAACCGTATTTATACTTAAAAATAAACCTAATATACCATTAATATAATAAAGAATCCATCTTCACTTCACAGTGTCCATGTCTTCCTTATTACTCCCTCCGTCCTAAAATATAACAACTTATAGCCTATAGAATTTATCCCAAAATATAACAACTTCTCCACCAACATTCTCTTCTCAACTAATCACAACTCTCCACCATTCAATTTTCCTACCTACCTTCACTTCTCCTCCAATCACAACACCCCCCCATTTAATCCTATCAACTTTCTTAATAACCGTGTCTAACTCTAAAAATGCTTATATTCTGGGATGGAGGGAGTAGATATGTAATCCTGATCTCCTGTACATGTATGCTGCAAAATCTCCTATATGTATAGAAACCTCTCTCCTAATCTCTCCTAAAAATATCTCTTGTATTTATAGAAACCTCTCTGTCCTAATATCCATATATGTACGCCATAAAATACATACTGTTCACCAAAAAACCTCCATACATGCGAACAACATACTTACTGAGCCCGTCCTGCTCCATGACACTAATGTCATCTATGCATGAAAAACATATATTATCATTAGAATTTTTTTACCCGTTGCAACGCATGGGCATTTTTGCTAGTGTATATATATATATATATATATATATATATATATATATATATATATATATATATATATATATATATATATATATATATATATATGGAAAAAAAAGAAAAAAAGGAAAAGGAAGGAAGGAAGCATACGTACATGTACGTACGTATACTCCACCTGCCACATGCAACGCGCGGGAGGAGGATAGGTGGGACCCATGATATTTAGTTTGTTTTAAGATCAATTTTATCTAAGGGTGTATAATATTGGACCCACCAATTTAAGTGAAAATCAAGGGGTAGATGTTTTGCTTTTTTCTTAGAATTTCTAGGATTTTCTCTATTTTATTAGAGCGCCACGATAAAATCACTAAAATTATATATAAATGTTCCTCTAACGCATCAAGCATAGCATAGCCATCATGGTTTTCTTCTCTTATGCCTTAAACCATGGGTTTCGCATCGACGTTGCCATACCCCTTAAGACTAGTGTGGGGCACAATTTCAACATTCATTGTCATTACACTCATAAAGGATTGCATCAGTAACTAAGCCAACTGAGCTCTATTAACAACGGTGACCTCTCACTGGACCATCACCTTAGCAATATTGTCATAGTATTTACAATATTGTAGCACGCCCTGTCCTCCATACTTTGCGCCCTTTAGGGAATAACATAGAGAAAATAGAGGTAATGAAAATAATTCTTTTAAGTTTTGAATCGATTTGTGGTATAGAGTAGGCACGGTGTTTTTATGGTATTAATCAGTACTACTAAATTTTAGTGGTACAAATATAATTTTCTCTTTTAAAACTTAGCAGAATTGATCATTCGACACTAATTCAGAAAATCTAATAGCTTTAGTGGTGAGAACCACGTGGAAAAATATTTGCGCAAGTAATAATTCTTTGCAAATATATGATTTTACATGGGCCTTGATATTATTTTCCTTGTATTATTATAGATCTTCCTCACCTATACATGTTCATGGGATAATATATGATAGAATAATCTGTGTTGTTAAATTTATTTATGCTAATTGTTAAGACTATTTAAATGAGAATGACATGAAAAGGGATAGAATATGTTCCATGTGAACATTTTTAATAAAAATGTAGTTCACATATTTATATATTTCTTTAAAAAGATTAGCGATCAAAGTTAGTAAATGAATATAGTACCGCTGCCAGTTAAAAAGATTATTTGGATGCGAAAGACATAATAAAAGGATTATAATATTGTTCCATGTGATAGTATTTTATTCAAATATAGTTAAATAGGATGTAGTATTTTTTAATTCATAAATCCTAGTTAACTATCATATAAACATGAGCGAAAGGAGTTACGGAGGAGGGGCTGGTCTAACTGTATCTATTACATACAAACATAAAAATATTTTAATTATTAATTTGAGAATTAGGAGTGAAGGATTGGTAGGATTTTTATCGTACTTATATTTTTTTTCTAGTGAATAGTAATATGTGGTAAGTACATATATACTCCCTTAGTAAAATAAAATCCAATCTTAAGGATAAATCTTAGGATTAGATTATTTTGGGCACAGGGTTTATGTATTATTTTTTTTCTCTTATAGGAATACATTTAAGGACAAATGAAGCTGCAGGTCCAGCTCACATAGCCGACTGCAGTATTCAACAATGGGTTAAAATATTTTTGATTGCTACACATTATACTCTTTGGTTTTGGGCCAAAACCTCATTTCTTCCTTTCTTTTTAATCCCAGCCCAGCCCGTTATTGCCTCTTTTGACCTAGCCCACAAGTGGAGCTGTAGGCCCAGCTCACATAGCCGACTGCCTACAAGTGGAGCTGTGACTGCTAGCTGGCTTCAATCTCCGGAAGATAGTCTTGTCATGCTAGAACCGATCCTCCATCAAATCCGGTCGAATCATTCACGATCTCCTAAAATTGGTTGAGGGCTTTTGATATACTTGATCTCCTCTTTCCATTTTTATCAAAACCGGAGCAAATCTATAAAACACGGGATAAAAACGATGACTTTTAAATGGAGATTAGATCGATAAATTAAAGCGATATTGATTGGAAAAATCATAGGGAAAATAATGAGGTAATAGTGTGAATTGATTTTTACAATCAATTGGAGGAGAGAACGCATGGGGGAGGTAGACCGACGTGGCGGTGGCGCTAGAGTTCGGCCCAGCAAAAAAAAAGGGCTAGATAAAAACGAATCGTTACCGCGCGTGAAAAAAAAATGCAACGAAAGGAAAGGGACAAAGACAAAAAAGGCAAAAAAAAAAGACGGAAAAAAGGCGGATGGAAAAAAAAAGAAAGCAGACGGAACGGAAAAAAACAGTGAAAAAATGATGGATGAAATAAAAGGCGAAAAATACTACCAGAAATTTAATGTACTTTTTTATTAGGTATAGTTATTGGTTTGATTTATAATATAAAGGTATTTGATCTATCCATATAATTAATTATATCATCCATTAGTTTTCAATGTATCATATAAAATGAACGCTAAAAAATTCATTAGATGAGATTGATGGCCAGTAATATCCTACGCACCAATCACAGCACATAATGTACAACATACCTATAGCCTACTAGCTAGGTGGACATCCAGTTTCCAGTTGGGTGGATAGAACACTTCCTGTTTTAGTGCTACCTGTCAGCCACAATTTGTCAAAGATGAAATGGAACAGACCGAACCCATCCCTCCGAAAGACTCCTTGGAAACCGCGGTGGAGCAAAAGCTCTTCCCTGCTCACGACGACGGCAGCTCCTTCACAATCTTCCGTGTCCCCGCCCACATCCGCGAGGAGAACAAGAAGCTGTATGAGCCGCAGCTGGTGTCCATCGGCCCTTACTACCGCGGCCGCGACGCGCTCCGCGCCATGGAGCAGCACAAGTTGCGCCTCCTCCGCCATTTCCTCCAGCGAGCGGCGACCGTCCCGCTCTCCGACTTCGTGCGGGCGGTTCGGGCCGTCGAGCGGCGCGCCCGCTGCTGCTACAGCGAGAGGACGAGCGTCTTCGACGGCTACTTCATCCTCGAGTTCTTCTTCAAGTGGAACAGGGGCGAGCCCGACCCGCTCTGCGACGTCGGCTGGGGCCTCACGCTGCTGCACTCGGACCTCCTCCTCCTCGAGAACCAGATCCCCTTCTTCGTGCTCGAGCGCCTCTTTGACACCTTCTTCCGTGGCGCCGTAACGCAGGACAATCTAGTCAAGATTCTGCTCATCCAGCTCAAGCTTAACGGCACCGTCGTGCCCAGACAACCACTGCGTCCGGAGTTCACCGGGCAGTTCGACCATTTACTCCATCTTTTGCACGACAAGTTCGTGCCCAAGCTCGAGGAGCTGGAGTTACCTGCGGTAACCAATGGCTCGCCATCTCCGTCGCCGCCTCGGCTGCTGCTGATACCCTGTGTATCGCTGCTGCGAGAGGCCGGCGTCACGTTCAGGAAGAAGAGGTCGCCCCGGGATATGTTCGACGTAACATTCGACAGGAAGAGGGGAGTCATGGAGTTGCTACGCATCGAGATCCATCTTGCGAACCTGACGCAGCTGATGAATCTCATCGCCTTCGAGCAGAGCAGGGGGACAACGCGCCGGGACTCCGGCGCCGCTGACGAGCTACAGCGCGCTCATGTCGTCGCTGGTCAGATCGGGGCAGGACGTCTCCGTGCTCCAGCGGGGTGGCATCGTTGACAACCTGCTGTCCAACGATGACGAAGCGGCCATCAACTTCTTCAGCCGTCTGGGCGATCCGTGCACCATGCACTACAGCGACAACCTGTTCGCTCAACTGTTCGACGATGTGAAATGCTACCACGACTCGAGCTGGCACAAGCACAGGACGTTGTTTAAACGTGCCCACTGCAGCACTCCGTGGTCGATCATCGCCCTCGTGCTTGCAATTATAGCTTTCTTCTACTCGTTCTTCAGTCAATCTGTGGCCATCTATGGCCAAGCACGACGCCATTAGATTTGTCTTCTCATTCTTCAGTTAATATATATGGCCATGCAAGGCATCATTAGATTTATCGATCTTTCTCGTTCTTCAAGATCAATCAATCTTCGGCCATCGAGGGCCTAACACGTACGGCATCATTGGATATTATAAAGAGAGTGATTTTACAGGTCTTCCTGAGGTACCATGAGATATAAGATAGTAGTATATTTTACGAAAACACTCCCTGTCGAGTGTCCGATCTCAGGACAAAAATCGGGCGCCCCCCAACCGGAAGAGGCTCCTCTGAAGTGGGTGGCTGACATGTGGGTCCACCAGCTGTGCGGCCCACATGTCATCCTCTCAAAGTTAGAGGGCAGTACGTCAGGGGATCACGTCCCCCCCAACTGTACCACTCATCTCAGCCTCACCCTCCTCACTCTTCTTCTCTCGCTCCGTCCCAAATAATTCCAGCCACTTCTACATGGGTCCTCGAGATGACGACGCCACTGTTGATAATTTTTTTCGATCACCACGATGTTTCACCTATAATGTATTGTGGTATTTATTACAGTCGTGCTAAGGACTTGTGGTTGTATTATGGGCTGGAGCAGCATCTCGCCAAACAACGGCCCAAGCAAGCCCAAGAAGAATCATCAAAAAGGGACATGGTTGTAGCTTAGAGGGTATCAATCTCTACCTTCCCTCTTCCTCTACATGGCTAGAAGCTACTAGAACCTTCTAGCCCTTGTATCCTTCCATTTTCCACCTCAAAACCCTCCACTATTCTAACAGACTCGGTTGCTCCTTGTGTTGAATTTGGTACTACTTCTCCTGAAATTGCGTTGTTGAGTGGGTCTCTAACAATTTGGTATCAGAGCTATTTGGTTCGTTGGAATTCTCGCCATAGATGATAGGTTCGATTTGATTTTGAGGCAGATCGAGGAGTATGAGCAGAGGCGAATGGAGGTAGATCAAAGAAGAAGCGCTGATCTGCTGTCTCTCAAGGTGGCGGTAGAATAGTGGATGCCCGATATATAGAAGAAGGATGAACACCTGCGATTTTTGGTTGGGGATGAGCAGTCCAAGGTGACGCCCACCACCTGTTCGACGAAGTGCCCCAATGGCGGCAGCCCGAGCACAATTGAGAGATTCATCTACATCAACGAGGGGACTACTCCGACGGGCGTCCTGGAGCTTGGGAATGGTGAGGACAAGGTTCATGACCCTTACATCATCACCAAGGATTTTCCTGAGGTTACGCTCACCACGTGTTCGATGAAATGTTCCATCCCCGACATCGAGCCCAATCTCACCATGGTTGAGAGGGTTACCTTCGCCAGCACAGCCGCTGCTTCTATGGAGTTGGTGGCTAACAAGAACACAACCAGAATCGCCTACATCAACACCCCGGACTATCCTAAGGTGACACATGCTAAATGTTCGACGTTAGGCCTTGGTGTCAAGGGTGGCGCATACCATGCCAGGGTCACGTGCCAAACCATGATGGGTGAGCCGGAGGGCGTTCTAGTACATGATGCATCATCTTAAGTCTTCTCGTCATGGTTGATGCCTGACCTCAATCAGTATACAAGCATGTCCATCAGGTGTTTGTTGAAATGCCCCAATGGTGACAAGAGGCCACTGATGAAGTACCCCAAGAGAAATCCATGGCCACCCCCCACACAGAACTATGCATTGGTGAAAGGACATGTGCTGCAACTAACCTTGTTTGTCCTCAAATGTCTCGGGGTCACGTGGGTGCAGCGGGGACTCAAGTCCCCCCTACACCCACAAAACCCATGGATACCCCCCTAAGCCCCCCCTCAATTTTTTCATCATAGTTGATAAGATAGGAGGTGCTAAAGGTCTTATAATAGCATTTTAGTATAGTTTAATACTGAGATTATGTGTTTATATCGGTGTACTCGGTATGTTGAGTCCCCCCAACTTTTTGTTTCTGGATCCGCCCTTGAATGGATGCCACCTTGGTTGCCATTGATTGGGGTGATCCAAGAGCATGTCTGTGAGCAAGAACTGATCATGTGTAGGCATTGGGATCCAGGTAAAGACAAGGTTCACCAACACAAGATCTTGTTGGGTGATTGGCTTCCACAACCCTACTCCCATTAGAGATTTTGGGACATAGGTGATGATAATGCTATTGGGCACTGGAGTTGTGGCGATCGTCTCAAGAAGTGCAAGAGAAACAACCTTGGCCACCACCCACACAAACAGACAACATGATCTTATTGTGCATGGGGCTCAGCCCAAAGAACTTGCAAATGGAAACAACACGCATGCTACTGGAACTTGTTTGGTTTCAACGACAGAATTGGATTAGTGGGCATGAGTTCAGATTCGTGTATCCTGAAGATCCATTATTCTTACTCAAATCTCTACAAGTAGTTCACAGAGGTGGTATAATTTTCATTGTTATTGAAGAAATTGCAGAATACACTCAAGATCAAAGAGGAGAAGATTTTGGTGTTGCACATTCTGGTAACAATGTGATTGCCATTGTTGAACAAGAGGTAGGCAGTAAATGGAATCTATAATTTTTTGCATCTCCTTCACAACTGCAAGCATCTGCTAAAATGGTTGGGATTATACAATCAGTGGCAACTAGCTTAAGGCCATTGCAAAATAAGAAATGAAGTTGTGAGCTCATTGTTCATGGGGCAATCCTTCCAAAGCAGATCATATGTTTGACTTTGGGTGTCTTCTTATGGTGGAAAGATGGCTTGGTATTCTGGGATCTCAGTATTTGATTATGGCTATTCCAATGGGTGACCTGTTACAAATTCCTGTTGACTGCAAGCTACTGAATATTTTTTGACAGCATGAACATGCTAGAAGGTTTCAGTGATGTTGCAGTTAGTCTACTTTACTCTGAGATGCTCCAAACTAAGAATCTCATTGGTGATGATAAATTTGCACCTTGTATCGAAGACCTTCAAACAACTTGGGATCCTGGTGGGATTGGCAGTGCTTCTCATCGGCTCGGGGACAAGCCGAATTTTAAGAAGAGGGATTGTTAAGGACTTGTGGCTGTATTATGGGCTGGAGCAGCGTCTCGCCAAACAACGGCCCAAGCAAGCCCAAGAAGAATCATCAAAAAGGGACATGGCTGCAGCACAGAGGGTATCGAATAGAGAACGAATAGGATCGGCTGAGGGGTTCCTCGGCGGCGGTGGCGACCTGGAACCGGGCTTGGTTCCTTGTCGATCTTTACCTTCCCTCTTTCTCTACTTGTCTAGAAGCTACTAGAACCTTCTAGCCCTTGTATCCTTCCATTTTCCACCTCAAAACCCTCCACTATTGTAACAGACTCGGTTGTTCCTTGTGTTGGATTTGGTACTACTACTCCTAAAATTGCATTGTTGAGTGGGTCTCTAAAAAGTCGCTAACCAGCTTGACCTTGAGAAGTTTTCGATCAAGATGGGTTTAATTTGAAGATCAACACCGGCTAGTGCAGGTCATTTGATAGATCGGGATAAGCACCTGTCTCATGAACGGAACATAAGATTTTGGAACAAACCTACAAAGAGAATAGGAGGAGGCCGGAAAACCTAGCGGGATAGAAGGCAGTATATGGCGATCTATACGCGAACTTATGATAGAAGGGAGTATGGCGGTCGAGTTCTAGCGACTCTATATCTATATTGAGATGACCCACTGACCACCTCCCATCTCTAGTCGGATAAGTAGTCTTTAAGGGTTTCTGGTACCCATGTTCTTCACAGTATTTGACCAATAAAATTGGAAGCCCAACCTCGAAACATCCACGATTTGATAATTAGATTCAATGTGGTGTCAGGCCCCCATCTAACATTGCTGAACCTTCAACAATGTTCATATCCTTTATAATATTTGAAACAATCATCAGTCATCATGTGCCCTGGCAGTGTGCGGCTCTGCGCTGCCCTACTTTTGCTCATGCACGCCGACCACCATACCTTATGTACCGTGTTGGCCTTGACCATGACTACCACAATTGTCGGCCTCGTTCATTCTATCCTCCTCGTCTTCATCCTCCTCCTCTTCCTCACCAAAGTTTGGCTTCAATGGCAACCCATCGTCAAAGAAGTGCTCATCATCGATGTTCTACTCTTTACAAGACTCTGGTGGTGGCCATGACAGGGAGTACTTAGTGGACGGCTTTAGGTGCTCTTTCTCTTCACTGGTGGTGATGTACTTTAGTTTGCATGGGGAATCCATGGCCATTGAAAATAGAAGAAAATAAAAATGAGAAGTACGGTGAGCAAAGCCACGTTGATTTATATTTGTTGGAAAGAAGCCAATGGTGGGAGGTTAGGAGACGGAGTGGTAGTAGAGGATGCAACCAACACATAGTGATTTGACATCCAAGGCGTCCATGTCATTGCTGATAGAAGTAAAGTAGTGGATGACATAGATGAAAAAAAAATAAAACATAGGCAAGCAAGTAAGGGTATCGTTGGAGAAATATAATTACATAGGCATGCGTTCTAATAAGAGCACTTTTGTGCATACATTCATTTTCATTGGCAGTTCTTTAAGGTAGCCTCCTAGGAAATAACAATTATCATAGGCAGGCCAGACCACCTCATGTGAAAATTGACACATATCCTGATGCATTTGTCTTAGGCCTTGTTTAGTTCCCAAATTTTTTTCCCAAAAACGTCACATCGAATCTTTGGACACATGCATGGAGCATTAAATATAGATAAATTAAAAAAAAAACTAATTGCACAGTTTGCATGGAAATCACGAGACGAATCTTTTGAGCCTAATTAGTCCATGATTAGCCATAAGTGCTACAGTAACCCAAATGTGCTAATGATGAATTAATTAGGCTTAATAAATTCGTCTCGTGGTTTCTAGGGGAATTATGAAATTAGTTTTTTCATTCGTATCTGAAAACCTGTTCCGACATCCGGTCAAACGTCCGATGTGACACCCAAAAATTTTCTTTTCGCAAACTAAACACACCCTTAGTTGGTCGCCTACGGCAATCGGTTTGCATAGGCAGTCCATGATCCCCTCCCCTCCGCAAACTTAGGATAGTAGTAGCCTTTTTTTTGCCAAAAACACCCTTTTTTTAGTGCAATATATAGAACATGATATTGATAAGCATAATATATAGCCTATTTTGCACAAACTGAGACTAGTTCCTAAGTCACAAAAGTTCC